GGAGGGGTGAGGGGGTGGGGCTTACAGATATTCAAAAAGACAGAGGGGGATCAACTGAATTTCCAATAAGGAGTTTGATCTGTTTTTGTTTTTTTTCACGTGTAACAAAACCTTTTGAAACAATCAAGAGGTCAAAGATCATTAGCTGTAACGACGAGGGACCGACCAATCACAACGACGACAGAGGACAGTGTAATAACATGTATTAAAACACGACGACAGTGATAATGTTGACGTCTGCGTCTTCACTCCCCGTAAAACTAAAATATCTGCCAACGTTAAAACACGCGCCGTCACTGCTGTAGGTGGACAAAAATGTTGAAATGAATGAATCAGGAGTTCAAGGTGTGGCTCGCGGGCCAACTCTGGCACTTTAGGACAGGTTTAATATGGTCTGGAACGTCTTTCAGGTCATGTGTCAAATCTGTCGACTGTCATTTTTAAAACAATGTCGATTCAAAAAAAGTCAAAAGAGGAAATCTGCTTTAAAAAGCACTTAAATTCACAACATCTCCCTTTAACATTCATTCACGTCAACATCCTGATGACCCAGGGAAGCCCTTTGACCAGTATATGTGTGTGTGTGTGTGTGTTGAGTCAGGTGTTCTCCTGGTGTGACCTGTGTGGACGACACGTCTCCCCGCGGTGCAAGAATAACAAGTTCATTAGTCGATGTGGGAGGTGGTGGTGGTGGTGGTGGGGTCGAGGGGGGATTGCAAAAATTCAAATCCACCCCCCTCACCCTGACTGCAGCGGGGCCTCTGATTGGCTGCCTGCGTCAGCATGGTGAGACTCATTAGAGCCCAGCAGTAATTAAGAGTTGTTAGAAAGTGAATTCTCCAACGGCAGATTAGAAAATTAAACTATTTACTGATTACATATTAATAGAAGACAACAATGGCGGCTGCCATAAGCTTGGAAGGCGACCAAGGAATAAATCTGTGTACTTAATTACCATAAACAATGGGGGCATAGAAATGGAGTTTGAGGCACACTCCCTCCTGTAACGTGTCTGATATCAGAGGACACTTGACGATTCTTGTTCAATTATCTCTATTATTTAATGTGCTGTGAACTGCCTCCCAGTAAATAAATTAACCACCCCAATTACTTTGGATTCATCTGGGGAAGGGGCTGTGGGGTAATAGAAAAAAAAAAAAACGCTGCGGAAAGCTCCGCTGTGTCAAACTGAGGGGGGGGGGAGAGAGAGAGAGAGAGAGACATGAAAAGTGATGAAGAGAAACTTCAGCGTTAACGACGGCGTAAATTACCAATGGCATTTACACAAACGTCGCGACGAGTTCAAAATATACGGTGAAATAAAAGCGTAAATAAATTAGGCAAGTAAAAAAAAAGTCAACAATTTTTTTTTTTTTTTTTTAACCAAAGACTATTCTGGACTGCAGTCCGGCCGGTGAGGAAACTTGTGTTTCTGTCATTTGAGCAGACTGAAGGAGGACACCGTCCTGATGACGTCCAGACTCATCAAAGGTCCATTTTTACAACATTATTATTTAACCACCTGGGAATCGTGCACAGTTTCTGCTCCTTCATTTCCAGGTTTTGGTGAAAATAGAGAAAACTCATTATCTCAGTACAGAAACACTGGGCTTCGATCCAGTGTCCGGAGAAACATTTCTCTCATGGAATTTACAGAAGAAATTGACCAATGTTACTAATGAGTTACTAGTTACTAGTTAATCTGCTGATTAAGGAACTTAAACATTGATGGAATTTGACTACTTTATCCAAACGACCGCCTCTGTTTGTTTGTCTTGTCACTCGCTGTAACAAACTTCGCTGCCGTTCCACTGTTTCTGACGTTAGGATTTTGCATCTTCACGTCCGAGAAGACCTGGTTTACATGTTGTTTACATGTTGTTTACATGTTGTTTACATGTCATTTTCATACCTTCCTCATTTCTCCCATGTCTTGGAGCCAAATTACACCAATGTTTATTATGTTAACGGTACCGTGTGGTACCGATGAGTTCTACAGATGATCATTAACTTCACTCCTGTAAAAGTCATAATTTCTAGGCTTAAAAGTCTTGGTCCTTTTTTAAAAAAAATTTAAAAATTAAAAATTCTTAATTTAATAATTAAGAAGTTTTACCAATAAAGAAATTTATCAAAGAAAATAAAATTAATTCCTGTCGGAATCCTGACGGTGACACCAACACGGATCAATATGGCAACAGCCAATCAGCTGCGACTTCATCTGGACATTCAGAAGAAATAGAAAATATCTATCATCAATGACAGCCAATAGGAGGCTGACCTCAGTGGCCGAGGTGATAAAGGTGACTTCAGTCGCCACCTGTCAGCGGCTCGTCTCACAGCGCGGCCTAAAGGCTCGATCCATAAACTATTGGCTGAGTCTCTGGGTGTGTGCTGCAGAAGGAGATAGAGGAAGACGTTCACCGGGGTCAGAGAAACGTGCTCCACGTTATGAACTCAACCATTTTTTTTTTTATTTTTTCTCGCTGCACTGTTGTGGCCAAAGGCGTGAGTCGAGCGTTGGAGTCAAGGACAGACTTCCAGGTTTTTATAATGAAATCTACTGACGTTTCCAAACCTCGGCTCTAACAGGAGAGAGAGATCGCCTCAGTTCTGCACTCGATCATTTTGCACATGCGACAACGAGAGACAAAGCTCGCGCTCGGAAGCTGAAGCTAACGTGTCGTTAGCGCGGAAGAACCAAGGAAGCTACGAGCTACATGTAACGTCTGTAACAGCCAGAAAAACAAACCTGATCTGATATTAACAACACGAAACCAAGAGCCAACGTTTCATACAGTGTTTGAATGTGATCGGCCTGGTGTCTTAGTGGCTGGTGTGCAGCAGGTTGGGTGGGTAAAGACGAAGACGAAGAAGTAGAAAAAAAAAACAGTCAGACACAGTGGTGTTTGCTGTAACTGTGGGAGGTGGAAAAGGCAGGGAAACGAACCCAACACAGGTGAGACGGTGTTGACATCAGCAGCCGACTGTGATGGTGGAGGTGAGGAGGTGAGGAGACCCCACCTCCTCCACCTCCTCCCCCTCCTTCTTCTACTTCAGCCTCAGTCAGAAACAGCTGCCGTTCAACACTTCCTGAAACCACGGGACTTTTTTTTTTTTTTTTTCCTGTCTGGATGATTCAGTATCACAGACGTGAAGCTGTTCTCGACGCTCTGTCTCATGTCTTAACCAGGTCTCACCCTCGGTCTCACCCTCGGTCCCACCCTCGGTCTCACCCTCGGTCTCACCCTCGGTCTCACCCTCGGTCTCACCCTCGACTGAGGCTTAAATAAAAAAAAATATAAAAAAAATATATAAAAAAATAAAAACCCAAATCCTGCTCTGCACGCCAAAAACCCGGAGCGCGCTCGCTGGCGTTTACGTTTGTGTGAATCTGTGTTGGATTTGTGGAGTGTGTCGTCGCTGCTGTTGTCACTCTCTCTCTCTCCCCCCTTCACCTCACCCCCGTCCCTCCTTACACAGCATATCAATGAAGGCCAGATCTGTACGAGAGGAAGTGTGTGTGTGTGTGTGTGTGTGTGTGTGTAGCCGTGCATGGCTGAGCGCACTGTTCAATACTGTGGATGGTTGGATGGTTGGATGGTTGGATGAGGCCGCGGCTGCCAAACGGCGGCGGCGGCGGTGGAGACTCGGGGCCGCGGCTTCGCCGCTATCTCACCCAGTTATCGTTTTTCCCCCATGAAGGGCTCCCTTATCACCCCGGCCCAGAGAGGCCGAGACACACACGCACTCCTCCCCTCTTTGCTCCCCCCCCTCCTCCACCCGTGAACCCCCCCTCCCCCCCTCCTTTCATATCCACCCAGCGCTCCGTCGCTGAACGATCAACCGGGGAGAGAGAGAGAGAGAGGGAGAGAGAGAGAGAGGGGGGGGGGGGGCTTCAAAGATATTCTCACACACGTGTGTGTGTGTGTGTGTGTGTGTGTACGCTCAATTTGCCAAAACTGTTTTTCCAGTGTAATTGGGCCTGGACTACCTGTGTCCATGAGATAGCGCAGCCTCTTCTCCACGCGCGCTGCTCGGGCGTCGATGTGGCGCTGCTCGCTCTCCAGCGCCGACAGCTCCCCGACCACGTACTGACTGGTGTCTTTGAACGCCTTCTGTCAACCACGGAGACGGAGGGAGAGAGAGAGAGAGAGAGAGAGAGAGTGATTATGAGTGCAATATAACATTAAAAACAGAGGTGGAGAAAAAAGGATGAGAGGAAGATGAAAGAGAAGGAGAGAGGAGGAAAACCAGGGACGGAATCAAAGAGATGGAGGAAAAAGAAACAAAGGTGAAAAACAGGAGGAGGAAACAGTTACATTTATGACTCTGGTTTTTGTCTGAACTTTAGTCTGACTCTACAAGTCACAGTTTCACAGAATTCCATTCATTCTGAATGAAAAGGCAGGGAATCGAACCCTAGACCCCCAAGTCATCTGTCCGTTTTCCCCTCGCGACCAAATCAAAAATGAAGAAAATTAACAGTTTTTCTCAACAAAACTCTCCTAACCATCTGCTTATGTTCAGAACAGACGGGACACAGGGGGCGCTGTGGAGCAAGGGATCCTGAACAAGTCGATGAGAAGATTTTATCCTTTAAAAAAACAGCTTTTAAGTTACAATGACAGAATCTTTTTTTTTTTTTTAAATCTGTGGATTGAGATGAAAACCAGGGTCAAAGATTCAAATTAAGATTAAATCTGGAGGAGATTTACCAGAAAAGAACGGACGGGACCACGATCGACTGTGTGGACGTTCAGTGGTTCAGTGTAATTGTAAATATTTTACTTAAATAAAACTAGCATGAATTTACACACACTCACTCAGCACCTCCTTGTGTCCAGTCTATTCTCCGTAGAAACTCCTCAAAGTGAGGAAAATTATTTTATTTTTTTTTTATTCAAATTCACTTCAGAGGAGGAAAACATCCGAGCTTTACTGCTGATGCTCTTCATTTTCTCTTAATGGGACGAAGGAGGAGAGAAAGTTTTTTTTTTTTTTTTTTTTTTTTTTTTTCCCCCCAGGCCCGCCCTTTTCCCCTTTTACCCTTTCGGGTGTGGGGTGGGGTGGG